CTGATCTTGGCTGGCTGAGCTTTGCCTTCGTTCTTGTGAACGGGCAAACAAAACCGCGTTAAAATAGAAATAACTGCGGGAAAATGAAGTAGGAGTACAGTAGGACGAGTGTTGGCACTTCTCTGCTGCTCTCGCTCAGTTTTGTCCCTGTTCTCCACCYGTGATCCAGGAACAGCCCAGCCTGGCTCCTGGATCGATGTCACGGTTGCAGGGATGCTCACTGCAGCCCTTTCCATCGCATTCCATCAGAAAAAAAAAATATTAAGAACAGTTTATCCACATGAAAAATAGCTCCCATCAGTCCTACCAAGGTCAGTGTGAAGTGCTGAGCTGGTGCTCTGCTGTGAGTCACAGCTGGATCTCGCACACTGACCTTTTTCAGGCAATGCAGGACACCTTGGGGAGAGGGAGCACCCAAACCTTCCCTTCCCATGCTCTTCTTCCTGCCTTCTCCAGGGATCCATCCCACCTGCCTGTCCACGTTCTTGCTCCTCACTTAACAAGAAAAGAAAACCTGGGCTTTTTCCAGGTCAGACAAAATCCACGTGTGTATGAAACCTGGGCAGAGATTTAATTGAAGCAGGTTTGTGCATGGGGCCCTGCAGTGTTTGGTTTGGTCACCACCGCTCAGCCCTCCACCAACACATCCTTCATGGGGAGAGGGGTCAGGTAGTCCATCCTCCAAGAGGGAAATCCCAGGGAAGAGCATAGTTCTGATACAGGGTGAGGGCTGCAAAGAGACCTCTCCTGCTCCTGGCACCAGTCTGAGGGTCTGCTCTGGCACARGGCTGGGCTCACGGAATGTGCTGCTCCACCAGCAGTGACCAGGCTGCTCCAGATGTCACCTGCACGGCTCATCCTTGCCCAGCCTCCCCTGGGGCACTGAGTGAGGACTTTCAGGGTGCTCTGCTCATTAATGAGTCCTTATGAATTCCCCAGAGTGACAGGATTCACTCCCGCAGCGTGGATGGGATGCTGAGGTCTCCCAGCCTTCTCCTTTGGTCTGCAGTTGCTTCATCCTGCCCTGTGTTAACTCTCCTCGGAGGGATCATTGTGGGAAGCTGAGCAATTCTCCAGTTCCTTTGTGATCCCCACTGGGCATTGCTCCACTTTGATTTTCTTTCTTCCTCTCATTGACTTCTTAGCTCCTGTAAACARCAAGATGACAGCAGGAGTTAACCACAGAGAAATGGATTTACACTTCTGGAGCCAGCATGGCCTGATCCCAAAATAGGGACAGCGCAGGAGGAGGCAAAGCTCAGCAAAGGAAAGAGGAAGAGAAACCCCTCAGATGTGAGATRTGTGGCTGTCCAGGGGAGGCTGTTGTGATCCTGGACACACCATGTGAGGCATGAAGCACCTCTGAAGGCCAGGCTGCTAAACAAGCTCTCTTCAAGCTTTAGCAACAGCTCTCTCTCCATTTATGGTTGAGCCACCACTTCCCTGTTTTCMCCAGCAGCACAGAGCGGGTGAGCAGCGGGGTTTTTCTGACAGAGCCCTTTTTGAGGCCTGACAGACAAACTGTCTTATCCTYGCCCTTATCAGGAGCAGTTTTCTGCTTATTCACCTGTAGGAAACACRGGTACAGCACATTCCTCTGTCAGCAGGGAAACCTCCACAGCCACACTGGAAGATCAACAGAGCTGGCAGAAGCCTTTCTCTGAATGTCAATAACTCACCCCTGGGAATTTGGCCTTCCCCAATCACCCAAGCAGATAAGCAAACACAAGGGACTAAGCTCTGTTAGCTTAGGTGCTTGGAGTGCTCTGCTGGTCACCCTGCCCAGGCTGGCTAACCTTTAGCAGGGGCTCCTCTGGCTGGAGACACGAGTGTTGCCAAAACACAGTGCAGAGGAGCATGGAGGAGAATCCTCCTCTCCACTGTCCTCAGGGGTTTCTCACAGGAATCCCTCTGGAGGCAGCAGAATTTGYAGCCCTGAGCTGATGCCCCGAGGAACTCCTGCTCCCTACCTTTTGTCCARGGATCCTGTCCTCTTTTTCTCTTCCTTGGCTGCACATGAGCTTTGTCTTTGGTGCGAAAGTATTTCCCATCAGCCTCAGCTTCTTGTAGGATCTCATCTTCATACTTCTCCTACACCRACGAGAAAAAGAGTCATTCTGCAAACTACCCTGACTTTCCCAGGGAGAAAGGGGGACTGATGGCATTGCAGGCACCCTTGTGAYCATTGCTGTGGAGTGATGACAAATGCTATTGTTTATAAACACTCTTGACTGGCTGGAAAGAGTGGCACTTCTATCCCTCAGCAGCAAGTTGTGTAACAGGGTGGGAATGAGGTTTGGCACCTGGTGCAGGAAGAACCATCACCTTCTGGAGGAGCTTGGGCTGGGACAACCTGTCTTATATCTCTGGGACCCAGCAGCCTAAGCTGATGGCTGAGGAGAACAAAAATACAGACAAACCTCACTGTCTGTCGTGTCTGGCTCGTCAGATTCTTGCTTCCCAGAGTCGGCATCATTGCCATCTAAGGAAACACAAAAAAAAGGTTTTTTGGCTGGTGGAAAGCTTGGCAAGCCCATGAGCAGATGTAGAACTCCTGGCCCAGGCTCTGAGAGCCACTGAGGCAGAAAAAGCTCCAGCAATTAACTGTGTTGTGAAGTAAAGGTACTACAAGCTACGTGGCCTGAAATGAATGTTTATGAGCGATCCAACAAGGCTCTATTGGGAAACCAACTCCCAGCAAAGCTGGATCCACAGGGCTTTGCTACACTGAGGTCACCAGAGCTGTTCCAACATCTGTGGATGCATACAGGTGGGAAACTGTGGGGTATGTAACCCCCAGACCGCACCTTCCCGTTTGAGCCCCAGGAGGGGAGAAGCRTGTTGGGGTRAAGAGGCCAAAGGGACAATCCCCAYGTTTGCTGCTGGTGTCAAGCCAATGGYTCTCAGCAGGGAATGCGTACTGAGGAGCTGAGGAAGGAAAGGCAGGGGAGCACTTCCCTTCCCAGCGAGAGCGTTCAGCTGCACACAGACCCTGAGGGTGCTCAGCCTCAGACATGTGCCTGCCCACTCCCACCTCTGCACAAACCCAATCTGCACAGCTTGGGGGACAATCCTCGCTGGTGGTGCCACCACCCTGTCCACACACCTGGGCTGGCCACGGTGGCASAAAGGGCTGGGGACAGAGCTGTCCCCTCTCTGAGGGGCAGGGGCATCCCAGAAGCTCAATACGTGCTGCTCATGACACCCAGGTCTAGCCAGGATAGGGCTGAGCAGGGCAGCCCCCCTTGCTGSCCCTGCAGAGGTGGGGGAGCAGATGATGCTGCTTGCAGGCACTCCTGAAGTCCCTGCAGCCTGATCCCATCCTCACCTTCTCCTTCTGCAGGTTAAGGTTCACTAGAAAGTGCAGAAGTATTTGTATATTGTTTCCTGGGCTTTGTGTCAACCTAAAGGTGAGAACTGAAGAAAGTCCTGTATTCCCACACCCAGAATGTAATCAGCTGAAATTCTTCTGCCATGATGATATCTCCTTAGCATGTAAATCACAGAGGACTCCTTTTTTTTTTTTTTTTTTTTTTTCCACCGTGAAAAATCCTGCTCCTGAGAGTGTTCCCAAACCACTCCGACACGCCCAGACCAACTAATCCAGGCGAGCTCAACTTTCTGGCCAAGCCAGTAGGGCTGGTACTGAGCAGCTCCCAGCAGACGTGCTTCCCACTCTGATCCCCATGGCTGCTGCCTCCCACCTACCTGGACAAACCTGGCACTCGTGTCCCRTGGGGGTCAGGCAGGGAGAAGCCTTGGAAGGGCTTTTACAGGGGATGGAGCAGGGAAAAGGAGAAAACCATCCTGATTTACCTGCTGCAGGTACCAGCATCCCTGGCTCCCTGCTCAACCCTGTGTGCTGTCATCACAGGACACGCTTTGGAGCAAGGGGACAGACAGGGATGGTTTTCAGTGCTAGTTCTGCAAACTTCTTGCATTTTCTCTGCTGGGAAATTCTGAGCTTTTTCCCAAAGTGGGTAATGCTGGAGCAGCAACATTGGCTTGTTGCTGCTCCTTGTGGAGTGGGTTTTGCCAAGAGGTCAGAGCTACACTGACCTCTTTAGCTCCTGGAGAATTCCAAGCCCTGCATGGAGTTCAGGGTGCTCTGCAGAGTGTGCAAGGACAGCCCCTGGGTGCCTCCTGTCTGTACTGGATACTGGGCTTCACTCCAGAAGAACTGGGATTACTTTCTCCCTATGGATACTGAGTCTGAATTTTGAGCACATCTAAATTGGGGTTGAAAATTGAGGTCTGAAGAAATGTGAATCCTGATTTTTGTCCCAATGGCMCAGCAGAGCTGGGAGCCAGGAGCCYYGGGTCCATGGAGGGTGGGTTTGCTGCTGTGTGCAGAGCCCAGCAGAGAGCTCCGGGCTGGGAAATGCCTTCACCAAAAGACACCTTTCACTCTCGCCTTCTCAAATGTCACATTTGCCTGGGGCTTCTTACCTGCTCCTCCCTTCTGTGCACTGCCATCCCGCCTCATCCCAGCCTCAGGAACGGCCTCTGGGTCACTCAGAGTGGAGTTGTTTGTCAGATATGCCCGTGAGAGCGCGAGCTGTGGGACACAGGGAGCACAAATGCTGCTGTCACCAGGCAGGAGGAGCCTGTCCCCAGCCCTTATGTGACAGCTGTGACACCAACAGGGACAAGCACCACAGAGATGTTCCTGTGCACCGTGGAGTGTTTGCAGGGAGCCCAGCACCCCCTGCCCCAGCCCGTGGGAGGGGTCATAGGCACTGCCTGTCCTTGGGCCTGGATGGAAACCCTTCGGGACTGGAGGGGAGGTGGGGACTGAGAGCCCGGACTGAGCYACCGCGGCTCTGCCACGTGAAAATTGGCTTCAAACATATCAAACCATCCTCCCCCGGGACAGTAGTGCCGGTCACGGTGCCAGCAGCAGTGCTGGGCACCCCGGCGTGGCGAAGGGGCTGCAGTCGATGCCAACACGAGCTGTACTCACCACAGCTGCATCTTCATCCTCCTCCTCCTCCTCCTCCTCCTTGGCAGCACTCCGCAGTGCCCGGGTGGCGCTGGGCCAGTGGTAGGGGCAGCGCGGATCGTCCCTCGGTGCCCTGTGTTCCCCGCCGGGGCCGCGGGCTGCCGGCACAGCCGGGCTGTCCCCAGAGCTGTCCCCCGGGCTGCCGGAGCCCCGCAGCTCCCTCCGGCCGTGCCACTCCGTGTCCCTGCCGCGGCCGGAGTCGGACAGGTCCAGCGGCGCGTCCGCATCATCGTCCCTCGCCTCCTTCACCTTCGCTCGGAGCTGGGAGCGATCCCGGCTCAGCCAAAGCTCCTTCTCCTCTTTCCCATCCGCAGCATCCTCCAGGAATTCCCTCTCCTCCTTGCACGCTGCCGCGATGCCCATCCACGGGGACAGGGGCCGCTCCCGGGACGGGACTTTGGTGTCGCCGTCCTCCCGCTGGCCGGGCTGGCACTGCTGCAGGAGGAGATGCTGCAGCCGCTCCCGGTGCTTCAGCAGCTGCAGCTTCTCCTCCAGCTGCTGGTCCCTCACGTACACCATGGTGGCTGGAAGCTTCAGCAAAGCTGCGTGCTCCTCCCAGCTGTCCCGGGGCCTCGGCCGGCCGTCGGTGGCTTTGCCCCGGACCGAGTGGCTGGAGAATCCGCCGCTGTCGCGGTCAGCCGGGCCGCAGGGACTCGCCAGCCCCAGCTGGTGCAGGGAAAGGTGTTTGTGCAGGAGGCAGAGCTGCTCTCTCCGCGCACTCAGCTTTAGGTTTTCGTAGGATGGAGCAGCCTTCGGGAAGTCCAGTTTGCTCGCTGTTAAGTAGCTAAAAAAGCGGAGGGAAAATTCGCATTAGCTGGATGACATTAGAAAAATCAAATGAACGTTAGCGTTGGGGTTTTCCCGTGGTTTCGCTGCCCTGCAGGGGTGTGCGTGGTCYCTCCTGCTCTTTCCATGCCCTGTTGCAGCTCGTGGCTGGTACATCACTCTCGTCTTTGGGTTCTGTGCTGGGAGGAGGGTCCCGGTGGCCAGGGGCATTGGGCAGTGGTCAGCAGTGGGYCTCCAATAGCGCAGGAAGCCATTCCCATCCCACCAGCAGCAGCATTCCCTGTCCTTGGGCCACAGCAGCTCAGGGCAGGGGGTTGGGTGAGGGTAAGGTGAAGTGACCTCTCACATCAGCACTGCTGCCGAGAAGTCACTGTTCGAATAATGTCTCACAGCCAGCAACATCTTAACTACCCCCTGGGCTTTCTTAGTGCCTGAAGACCCCCAGGACAGAGGAACAGCCCATACTGCCCCAATCTCACTCAGTTGGAAACTTTTACAGCCATCCTAGGAGGTTTGGTACAGTGCAGGAACCTGCCCTGCAAACCCAGTTCCTGCTGCTGCTGGTTATTGGGCAACTTCCATGACAGCAAGCTGTTCCCAGGAATGCTCAGCAGAGCTACTCACACTCCGGGAATCTCACTGTCCCTACAGGTGAACTCACTGGCCTTGCTCAGCCCTCTGTGCTCCTGAAATCAGTGGGGAGGATAAGCCTGGGAAGTGCTGAGCCCTGCAGGAAAGCCCATTAGAATAGATAAGGAGGAGCAGGAATTGCTGCCTGCCTGGGACAGTCCTGCCTGGTTGTGGGGGAAGCTGGTTCACTCCGTGGGTCTGTCTGAGGAGCTGGAATAACRAGAGGCTGATCCTGCTGAGCCGGATTCCAGCCATTTTTCACTGCTGTAAACTGGGAGATCCCCCCTCCCCAAGGCCGTGGGAGGAATTTGGAGAGGAAGGTGGGCAGATCTTCCATCTATCCATTGAGGGACAGCTGCAAGGGGCCGTGGATCAGGCCCACACCACAACCCCCAGGCTACTCACGCCTCCAGGCTGGGGCTGTGCTCACGCTCCGGAGGGAGAGGAGTCTTCCTGGCTGGTGGAGACACTGCTGCTCCTGAGGGACTCTTCTCCAGGAGGCAGGGTCTGGAACCAGGTCTCACCAGGGCAATGGTTCCGTGCAGCTGGTTGGAAATCCTCTGGGATGCCTGTGGCAGAGGAGAGGATGTCCATGTGAGCTGTCCTGCACTGTACCCTGGGCTCCAGGGAGCTCAGCTGAGCTGGGATTCATCTCCACACCAGTGAGAATAAGACAGCTCAGAGTGCCCTGCTTGATATGGTTCTGGTCAACAGCTTTGTCGATTTTTTATTCGTTTTTCCAGGAAATTTCCCCCTCATGGACTCTGTTTTCTGGCTGCACTGATTTGTAGCACAGGAGGTTTTTTGTCCCCTCTTAAATCATGATTCATTGGCTTAACCAAGATAAAACCRTGCCAGTTCCCTGTCCTGTGGTCAGGCCTTTACTCCTGAAAGCTTTCCTCATGCAATCTCCTGACACACACCGGTTTGGTGGGTGTATTTCTGGTGGAGTGTCTGGTTCTGAGGCCAGAACATCGTTGTCTCCATCAGCTGTCTTGAAAGGCTCGCCACATGCTCTGACTTGACTTTCCCCTGCCCACCTGGGGATGTCACCAACYCTTCCTGTGATCCCTATTAATTATCCCCACAGCCTGCCTGCAGCCTTACCAAAACCCCTTTCCATCTGCTCTTTCAAGTTTTTTGTGGAGGTCGAGTAAGCAAAACCTGTGCCAAAACAGAAGTTTCAGTGTGGGTGTGTGCGTGGGCCTGAGTTTCCATGGCCAAGAACAAGGTCCAGCTCCTGCAGTGTCATCTCCCAGTGCCCAGTGTCACCGTGTCACTCAGCAGAGCTCAGCTGGCACCCTCTCTGTGCTTGTCCTTGCAACCACTGAACGCTAAACCCTCTGAAAATACCAATATTCATCACGCTGCAGGTGGAGAGGCACCTGCCATGCCTTTGGGCAGGGCTGCTGTGGTGTATTTGTTCTTGGCACCCACAACTCCCACAGCTTACAAGTTCTCCAGCCTTTTCCAACATTCACCACGCTCCTTGCTTGCTCAGGCAGTGGAGAGCTGGCTCTGTGGCTCAGGATAAGCTACACTGAAATGTGGCTCAACAGGAGCTCCCCAGCTCCTTCACTCCTCAGAGCTGTCTCCAGCAAAGCATCTGGGAGAGGAACCAGGGATGTGCAGAGGACTCAGGGATGCTGGAGGTGTTGTTGTGGAGGTTAAACACGGGAGCAAACAAGGATGAGCTCGGTCACAGCGGGGACAGGAGCCTGTGCTGAGCTTTGCTTGCAGAGAGTGGCAGTTTCTGCAGACAGGATGGATCTGGGGTTTGGGAGGTGCCCTCCTTGGCTCCGGCAAGGACAAACTGCCCAAGTCTGGCTAAATGCTCCCCTCCTGCTCTTTCCCTATCTCAACCTGTTTGTCTTGATGCAGTTCAGATGACCACAGTGGTAGACAGAAGGCCTGAGGACATCAGGCTACCTCAACAGCTCACCATTTSTGCGAGGCTGACTTCTTGGAGGACAGTTCCTGGAGAGCTCCTGCTGCTTGGAGAGCTTCTCTGGAGCTTCTCTGGAGGCTTTTCTACAAAAAAAAAAAAAAAAAAANAAAAAAAAAAAAAAAAAAAGGCACAACCAGCTACCATGATGGTCCCCCAGAGCTGCTGCAGCCCTGTCCTGCAGCGTGCAGGAGCCTTGCAGCCTCCCAGGGATGCCCCTGGCTGGTATCAACCACCTCTCAGTGAGGATTTTGGGTCAAAATTGCCTTGTGGCTCGAGCCAGCACCTGATGGAATGTTTCYTTCATTGCATGTGTGGGTGGCAGCGAGGGAATGGCATGRTCTCTGTGTGAATTGTTGGGCAGTSAGGGCACTCAAGCACTCTYTTGCCCTAATGCTGTTTCTCACCCTGTCAGCATTTCTGCCCAATGTCCATCTGAGCTGTCAGCAATTGGTCTTTGCTCTCCAAAYCCTTTCCCAGAGCAGTTCTGCACCGTGGCTCAGTCACTCTTCACATCCCCMGGTCCCTCCAGGGTGGCAGGAGCCAGCAGCACCCACCTTCACTGAGCTCCAGGTCTGGCACATCCTGGTGGGYTTCCTCTGCTTCCCTGTGAGCTGCTTTCTCAGTGCTGACATTCCTGCTCGCTGGGGACAGCAAGGTCAAAGGGGAGCTCGGTGTGGAGCTGCTTTCTCTGGAGGTGACTGCTGGGGTCTTTGTCCTGTCCCTGATGGAAAGAAAAGGATGTGGATGAACGAGAAGGGGCGGGAGAAGGGAGATTTTGGAGTCACTGAGAGCTGTGAGCCTGATATATAAATTAACATATTTATATGTGTGTGTATGTGGATACACCAGATTGTCAGACTCATCTCCTACCACTGCAGCTTATCACTGTCTCAGCTGCAGTCTGGAGCAAGGACAGAGCCAGCAGGACAGCCCAGGCTGGGATTGCCCCACTCTCGTGGGTAACGTCGCAGGAAGCCACAAGGTTGGGTAAGGCAGGACCCAGCTGTGGCTGTTGCAAAAGCTCTGTGGGAACCTGGCTGGGCTTTCAGCCCCGTGTAGGGCTGGATTCAGAGCAGGGATGGCGTGTCTGTCCCCTGCCACCAAACCAGGATGGGGCTGCTGCTCTCAGTGCTACACGGGAGTGAAGGAGTCTTGGAGACAGACATAAAGCCCAGGGTGGACTCTGATGATAAGATATGTCTATTTGGCTGAAAATCTTCCTATCCAGCGTCTCAGGGGGGATCAGAGCAGAACAGGATCACTCAGTGCTCAGCAAGCCCAGCCCAGTCCAGAGCTCTGGGGAAGCACYGGGGAGTAAAAGCCAGAGTTTCTCTTTAAGTGAATGGTGCTCCTGTGCTCCAAAGAAAACACATTTCTAAACTAATCCCTCAGTGCTAATTCCTCTGGACTTTAAACCCTTGAGGAATGAGCTGATTTGTATGTATTGGCCARCCTGACAGGTTACTTGGCCATCAGCACGGTGCTCTGCTGGGCTCTGAACCTGTTAGTGCAGATCCCTTCTCCCTCTTTAACCCCATCACAGTCCCTTGGGTGCCACTGTCCTTCCCCCAGAACACCTCATTTCCTGCAGATCCTCTCTGGCTGCTGCAGGAGGGGAGCTGGTGCCATGGAAAAGTCTGGAAGCCCAGGCTGAGGTCCATGCAAGCAGCCCAGAGCATTGCTCCTCTTGAGCAGTACCCCACGAGGAGGAGGGGATTTAAATACCTTTGTTTCCCAAAAAACAAACTTTGGATGCAGGTAAACAGGAGTCTGAGGAAAGGTCAACAAGGATTTTGAGACCACTAGGGATTTTTCCGTGTTTAACACACGCAGGAATCCCCAGGAATGAGGTGCTAAAACACCCCTGAGGTGTCTGAACATTGCCCTGCTCCGCCGTGGGGATGCCCTGGTGGTACGAACACCCCTCGCAAAGAATGAAAGAGGAGAGCGCTTACTCCAGGCTCCGGAGCCGCTTCAGTTCTTCCTTGAGAGTTTTGTTCTCCTCCCGCAGGCGATTGGTCTCGTTTGCTGCAGGGACAGAGGCGATGCTGTGAGTTCGGAGCTGTAAGGAGAGAGCTGATGCTGCTCCTCACAGCTCGCTGGGGTGCCCGGGGGAGGAGGAGGGAATGGCACCGGCGTTTGGAGGGATGCTGAACTTCCTTCCTTCTTTGTGAACATGCTGGGGCTAAGGGATAAAACTTTCTGACTCAGATTTCATCAGGACTGGGTCTGATTGCAGCTTGTCCAGCTCGGGGCAGACCCAGACGAGGCAGTGATGGGTTGGACAGTGATGGGCCAGTCCTTCCCCTGAACAGCAGGGCAGGGTGATGAGTGTGAGCTGTGTTGGGGCTGGGGGTATCGAGGGGATCAGGCAGAGGCCAGAGGGAGCTGTGAGCACCCAGCACYGGCTGCTGCAGTGAGGAGATCACGGGTGAGGCAGGCAGACCCCTGGGCACCGTGCCCGGGTGTGCTYCTGGGCAAAAGCAGCACTCGGGGGRYAGTGGCATAGCAGGGGAGATAAACCCAGGGCTCTTGGCACCTCTCCATCCCTCCTGAATGCCTTATCTCCTTTAGCTATGACCTGGGTCAGGCAGATCCCCAGGGAAATGCACCCCTCGCCTCAGCGGTGCTGGGAGCTCTGCCAAAGGCTCAGCAGAGGATCCATCACACGCCTTGCTTGATTTCATTTACCGGTGCTGAGCTGCTGCTGTGACTTTCCTGTCTTTGCCAGAGCGTTGCTTCTGCTGTGCCAAATGCATCCTTTTCCCAGGCAGCTGACACGGCCTGGAGGAATCTTTCATTTTCCTGGAGGGCTGCACCCCCAGCTCTGATAATTTGTGTGAGGGGTTATATCTGCTTGGGGGGGATGTGATCTGCCATCCACAGTCCTGCTCCCTCCCTTCTGCCCATCCCAAACCCTCCCCTGATTCCTGGCTCACAGGAGAGGCATTAACTGGGCAAAGAGCCTGACAAAGCTGAGTTTGCAGTGGGTTTTTGTACGTACAGAGGATGAAGATGTGCTGCAGGCTCTGGAATTGAGAGGTCTCATACTCATTCTGCTTCTTCTTGGCCAGCTCCTGGGTCACCATGCATCTGTCACAGAGACCAGCTCGCAGYCTGGAGGAAGGAAAACCCACAGTTTGTGACCACACGGTTCCCATGGGAGGAATAAATTCCTGCTGTCCCCATGGAGAAGTGTGAGCACCCACAATCACCCCTGCAGCCCAGCACTGGCCCTCACACCCCTCCAGATCCAATCCCACCATCACCAGCTCAGTGTCCAGGCTCCTCCAGCTCTCCCAGCAGCTGAGTATGGGAAAAATAGAGGTTTATGTGCTACATCCCGCTCTGGGGAAGACAGAAAATCCCAAACTTCCCCCCTACAAGKGTGCAGTTGCTGCCACTCAGCAGCACCCTGCTGAAAAACAAATCCTACCTGTTTTCTAACACTTTTACATTTTCTTTAAGGACCTTCTGCTGYTCCCTTAATTGGTGATTTTTAGCAAATAGCTCTTCAATTCTCTGAGCATCGCTAATTGAAGAAACAGAACAAAGACAAGAGGTTTATTAGATTTCTCCCCAAAACCCATTCCTTCATYCACAATGCCCTTTTTCCTTGTGTTGCAGGAGTGGAAACAAATGTGTTGGAGCCCTGTGACACCCTCCTTGGAGGTGACAGTTTAATTCCTCCCAGTTATTGTTTCCCAAGAGGGAAAGCATCACCTGCCAGTGGGAATGCAAACTGTCTGGAGCTGAAAGGTTTGAATTTGGCGGTGCCAGAAAGGCAAATGGTGCTCTCTAAATCCAGAAGTCTTGGGGGAGAATTCTGGAGGTCTGAAAGCCACGTGGAACCCCCACCCCTCTGCCCTCCAGTCCCAGCACTGCTCACCGGCACTTCTCCGTTGTCAGCTCCGCCACTTTGCTGTGCAGACCTGGAGTGATGAACAGGGACAGAGAAGTGGTGTTTATTGCCAATTCCCCAGCACTCAGAGCRCTGATGGAATTTCAGGAAGGTGCATGGCTTTGCAGAAATCTCATCCATTCACAAGCCTTATCTCCGATAAGGAGTAACACACTGAACGTGTTAAACACTATCACACTTTAATGTAACAGGGAAACTCGCACAAAATGTAAGCCCGTTTTGTATTCCCACTATTTAATGAGTCTGCATTTCCTTCCCAGACCCAAAAGGTCTGGTTTAGTTTTGTTTCTACTTATTTCTCACTACAGCCTGCATTTCCCAGGTGGGCAGTATTTTATAGCTTTCAGGGTTGGAAAGCATCTTGGAGAATATTTACAGCTGAACGGGTTTCCTTGATGGATCTGCAGACATTGTATCCTGTCAAATCCATTTTATGCAAAGTAGATGTAAACATGTGGTTTAAATTGCTCAACAGTTTCCTCTAACTCTCACACGGCTTGAAATTACACTAGAGAAGGATGAATTCATAAGCCAGAATCATCCAAAAGTGCTGAAGTTTTGTTCATAATATTGATACTGGGAATTATTCTAATAGGAAAACAATTGGACTTGGCACTTGGTTGCTTAACCTAATGGGTTTTATTTTAATAATGTATGACCTGAGAAATAATTTATTCCCTAGAGGAATAAGCTATCCAACCTGACTCAAATGTTTTCTTGAACAGAGCTTCATCTCCTGCTGCTTCTGTCTTATAGATTATTGCATCTTTCTGCTTTCCCTTTGATGCCTCAGTATCCAAATATACTGCAATGCTCACAGCTCGGGGCAGATGCCCAGAAGGTGAATGTGTCACCTCTGCAAACATCCCAATTCTGCTTTATCATGGACCGTGACAGCAGGGGCAGGAAAGGAGCCAAATTCCCCACAGTTACTGCTCAGAGCAAGTGGGATTCCTGCAGGAACTGAGCCCTTCCATGGCTCACTTTCCAGCAGCACAGAATGCAGAAATGGCCTCTCTTTTCTGCTCCTTCTCATCATTCAAAAATTTATTTATTCCTCATAAGTTTCCCTGCTGATGATAAGTGGCCAGGTGCCACCAGAGGGTGTTCTCCCTGAGGAACCTCATGTCCCAATCCGTCCCCGTGGGTGCTGCTTGCTCAGCACTAATCCCCAAAGCTCCCGATCCACACCAGCTCCTCCTCCTCCCTGCAGGTTATTTGACACTGAATGGTCAAGGTGGCATTTCAAAAAATGGATTTTGGCCAGTTTTTAATGAGACATTTTTGTCTTCCTACCTTGGACCTCTTTCTCATGGATTTCCTTGAGCTTGTTCAGGAACTCTGAGAAACTCTCTGTGGTCATGTTCGGGACTGAGCCACACACCACGCTGTGTGCAGTGTGAGGATGTTCTTTTGAATCAAATTATTCAGGTTTCAGCCTAAAATAGAAAGAAAAAGTCCAACAAAAGAGATGTGTCTTGTGCATGTGGTGTTCTGGAAAGGACAAAGCCCAAAGCTAGGAAAGGAAACCATTTGCTAAACCATGGGATGCATTTTTGTCCACCCTGCCTCAGTGCTGAGCATAGCAAAGAGCACATTTTAGATACCGGGAGRAGCCCAGCTGGAAAATCAGGCTTTTCCTCTGCTCGTTGAGCTGTTTAAATTGCATTTCTCTGGGATGAGGAGGGGCAGGGCATCTTCCTGAGCATAAAGAAGGGACTGGAGAACTTGTGTTGGGATCATATGGGGTCTGACAGTGGGAAAATTCACAGCAGCTTTGGTACTTGAGCCTGATGGACCCTTCTTCTGCTGGGATGCTGCTGTCCATCCTTCCTCCCTCTGGCACCTTGGCCAGCTCTTATAGAGGCAACGTGTACCCCTCAGCCACCCCACTGTCACTGCCCAGGCACCCCACCCTCACTGACTGCAGCCTCTTTGAACCCTTGGGAAACACCCGACAGAGATTTTCCGTCCATTTTACAGAGAAATCAGGAGAGGTGGTGTGGGCACAGCACTCAAAACCCCAYTGGGAGAAGAGGAACTTCCACATGAAGGCGTTTAGCATCCCCACATGGGAGCTTCTCCCCCTAAAATCATTCTGGGTGGATGAGTCAGTGATCCCAACAAAGCACTGGACACTCAACCAGCAGAGATAACCGCGGAGAAATCCTCCCCTGTGCTGCTGAAGTGAAGAGCGAAGTGAAGAGCGAAGCTTTGCAGCCCCACGGGGAAGGTTCGTTCTGTGTTCCTTCTCTCTCCCAGCCCCGTGCCTTTATCTGCCTGCGGAGCAGGGATGTGCCAGATCGCCTGCATATGCAAGATGCGGGCACGCAGGGCTGGGAGAAGAAAGTTTCCCCTAAAGCATCTGATTTTCAAAAGAAATGAGACACGCGCCGGCAAGCAGCAGCAGCGAGCTCGGCACGCTCGGATCGGCGGAGCAGCTGCCCCAACACGAACCAGCCCCGAGTCACTCTGTTTGCAAATCTTCCGAGCAAATCTGCTGCAAAATGAGTAGAGACCTCGCTCTGCGGGCAAACAATTAGAAAATATTCATTGCTCCGGCTTCCTTGGGTGTAACCCACCCGTTCCCAGGGCTGGGTGATCGATCCCAGCTAACCAAAGCGTGGTGATGCTCATCTCCTGAGGTCTGCTGCTGTGAAATGGGGTTGGGAGCTGATCTCAGCCCCAAGAGCCACAGCTTGAAAACTTAGCCAGGGGAAATAACACCCAGCTCTACAGCAAAACAGAAAAAAACCCTCCTGGTGCTAATGGCATGCACTTCCCAGGATCACCGAGTCTTAAATTTTAGGCTCTGTCCTGGGCAGGGCGCATCCCCAGGGCTGAAGGGAGGCTGTGAGACCAACCATGAGTGACCCCCCGAGCGCCAGCCGGGCTGGGCAGGCTCTGGATCGCCCAGGCTCTAATTCCCATTCCATTTCCTAACTCTATAACCGGGCTGTGCTCGCTGGCGCTGGGTGAGACCCTGCCCGCCTTGTGCGAAGGCTGCAGCCCTTTSCCCCGGGCTGGTGGCCCCGAGGGCTGAACCCCGAGCTCCAGGACACTCAGGGCTCAGCTCAGCCACCCCGGGAAGGTGACACCCTGTCCGGGCCCGGTGCCAGCCCGCTGCTCAGGGAGGTGGGGCTGGSCTGGCATGCCCAGGGAGGTGGGAGGCAGTCCGGGTGCTCGGTGCCGGATCCGGATCCCTGCGGCTGTGACTCAGCGCTGATCCTGGCAGATCAGGATTTGGGGCCGGGGTGTGGGCAGCAGCTTTGCCTTCTGTGCGTGGCTGAGGCYGTGCTGCCGCCAGAATTGGGGCTCWCTCCTGGTTTTCTTTTCCTCAGAGCCCTCAGGTGAGCGGGGACCTGTGGCCTGTTGCGGATCCAATCAGCAGGGAAAAGCCGCCMGTTTTGGTGCTTTTTGAGATGCCAGAACCCATCTCTGGCTGCAGATAAACCCGGGCAGGACCTCGAATCCTCGGTCAGATGATGCATGAACCTCGTTCCCCATGTTTCTGTTCCCAGGATTCAGCCTTTTGCTGCAGCAGAACAACCCCACCGGCAGCCCAGGCTCCCCGAGAGGCTCAGCTTTGCTCCCTCACGGGTGAAGGTGTGAAGCCCCAGCTCCCATCTCCAGAGGATTTATCGAGGGAGATTTATTGCTGAAGCYCACAGAGTCCCTCAATGTGGAGCTCGCTCCCTGGGACAGGGTTTCATTGAGAGCTCCGAGCCCTGGGCAGAGCTGTGGCTGTGATTTGGAGCCGGCAGTGCTGGAGCAGCCCCGGTGTCCCGGCAGGGCTGGGAGTGTTTCAAAGTGATGGGTGCCCTCTGCAAACAGARCCCAGTGTTGGGCACCAAAGGCAAACTCCGCATCCAGACCCTAAATCTGGAGGGTTTGGGAAGCACAGGAAGCACAGGGCTAGAGCTGATGTTGACTGCTGTGGCTTTGCTCACCTGCTCTCTGCTCCCTCGATGCTCAGCTCAGGGTGGGATGAGGGCTCCAGGATGGGGTGCAGGGTCCCTGGGGTGTCAGCTCTCATGCACAGGACTGGGGCAGCCCCAGCTTCTCCTGGGTACCAATGGCATCGCTCCTTGGGCAGGATGCTCCTGGCTGTGGCTGGGGAAAGGAAAAGCAGCAGGGAGATTATTTTCTGTCCCATCTCTGGGGGCTGGGAARGGGATGGACACGGACAGCCAGCTCTGGCAGCACAGCCTGCCCTCATTCCCTKGTCCCCAGGGRGTTCCTGACCTCTCAGCACCATCCCCAGCACTGCCTGTCACACTCACAGTGAGCCACAGCACATCCCCAGCCTCAGCCCTGTCTCCTGTCAGAAGGATAAAGCAGCTCATTAGCTAAACGAGCTTAAGTCATTAAAGAAAAAAAAAAGGCAGAAAAGAAAAAGGCAGGACTGTGACATTCTGATACCATGGGATCAGTGGAGCTTAATGGATTTACCACCAGATATTTCCCCATCAGCAGTGCTGGAGCTGCTCAGCTCCAGGCTGCACTGATGTCACACACCTTTCTCTGGGCCATTGTCAGCCAGAGCTGCTTTGACCAGCCAAACTTTTTTTCCTTGGCTACCCTCTTATGATCCTGGTCTAATTTTAGAATTATAAAACAAATTTATACTCAGAAAAACTGCCTGATCACTCATGGAAAATCTGCAGTGCCATGAGTATTTCACATGCCAGTGTGGAGCTAGTGCCCTTTGTTGTTGTACTGTGAGCTTGGCACTTTGAAGAGGGCTTTTTTGGTATGTTGAGGGTATTTTTTTTTTGTGGTGGGTATTTATTTATTTGCATGACTGAACATGGCACAGACTGCCCTAAAATGGAGCCCAGTGCCTGCTCTCCGCTGTGCTGGRTTTGCTGCACAGGGGATGCCAGATTGCAAAACTGCCTCCCAACAAGTGAGACAGGAGGAGCAGCCTTGRCTCCTGCCTCTCCAGGGAGGAGGATTTGGTGCTTTCCTCTACCTGGCACAACCTGAAAATCCTCCCTGGTGCAGGGCAGCTGCTCTGTGCTGCTCCACCAGCCCAGGGGCCRGTTTGCAGTGAGCCCYAGGGCTGCCTCTGCCTGTTGGTGGGGGTCCCACTCGGGTGATGTGGAGCTGCAGCATGGCTGTGACCTGTCCCAGTGGCTCTTTGGGTTTTTTGGGGGCTGATGCTGGTCCCAGTCCCCTGGAGCAGCTCAGCAGGGTCAGCAGCAGCAGGGAGATGCTGGCCCTGYTCCCGTATTCACAAACCTGTCCCATTACAGGGGGAGCAGAACTGCAGCAAACCCTCCAAGGAGAGGCTACATCCTCAGTCCCAACCTGCACCATCATTTTCTTCTACCCCATAAAGTCTCTGTTGCCACAATACAGCACAGCCCTGGTGATCACAAAGCCAGCAGCTCAATCTCTCCCCCATCACCCTGACCCCGCGGAGGCAATTTCTGTTTCTCCAGCTGCTGTGGCAATCACCAAACCCCCAATGTGGGTTTTCTTCCATTCCCTCATTTCTGCTGAAGAGCCCCTCTTCCCCTCAATTGTCCCTTGCAACAGGGACATCCCTCCTCCCAACACAGAGTCTTGGCTGCCCTGGGCTTACAGGATCACTAAAGCCAGAGCTGTTGGTCCCCTGCAGCACCTGAACATCCCCAGGAATCTGCCTTTGGCTTTTCCACAGCAGGGCGAGCTTTGGGGTCTCTCCTTGCATTGGCCCCAGCTGGCAGGGAGGTTTTGTCCTCCCTCTCCCMATTCCTGCTGCTTTGCTGAGGTTTGACAGTATTTGTTCTTTGATGAGGAACGACACTTGGAYCCACCAGCCATGCCACCAGAGCGTGGTGGGCTTTGGGCACATCTGTGGGCAGCTCTGTCTGCCCACAGGAGGATTCAAAAGACGATTAAAAGCAGGTACTTATCTGCCTGTGCATCTTGGGGTAACCACAGCTTCTATAAACATGACTCAATTAACACCTCAAAATGCTCTGGGAAGTGGGTAATGARGCATTATCGCCTTTTTTGGGTGTTTTCATTGGGAAGCGGTGAGGCTCAGGAATAGCTCAAGGCCCCTTGGGAGCAGAGGAGTTTGGTCACTGCCTCCACCAGCCCAGCCAAAACAGTGCCTCTGCCACYCCCAGCTCCAGAGCCCTCAGCTGGGAGGGAAATACCCTGGCAATCTCTGATAGATGGTGGTTATCACCCCACATTCTGCTTGGGATCCCGTTATGGTGCTCATGGTGCCTTGGTCTCATTCTCTCCTCCCTCCCCAGCAGCACAGCTCAGAGCCCACGCTGCTCCTGCCCTGGGGAATCCATCCCTCCTGCTCCTGMAGGAAACAGGACTGGTGTGGGAGAAGGGACACAAAGATCCATCTCAACCAGGCTTCCATAAACTGGCACCTCTGCTCCCAGTGCTGAGGGGTGCAATTGAGCTGGTGGCCGTGCAAGGGGAAAGGACAGATCTCCCTTCCCTGGATATGGTGCAGGGGATGAAGTCTTTGACCAAACCAGCTTTTCTTTTCAGCACTGTTTAAAAAGAAGTAATGTGCTAGGATGACCCAATCCTGTAAAACCCTCCTGGGTGTTCAGCCCTGCTGCAGCACCAGAGATGAGTGTCACCAGCTCAGCCCTGTTCTGTGCTGTCCAACAGATGGGACAGCCACAGTCAGGCATTTTCATAGACTGGGGCACCTCTGCATGTCCCAAATTCCTGGTGACACATTGATGCTGGGGACACATCGCTACCCAGGCTGGGCTTTGAATCAGTGCACCAGTGTCCTGCATCCTCCACAGAGGATCTGTGCTCACCTCCCTGTAAGTGCYCTCAGGACATTCCCCATGGTGGCACTGTCCCCSAGAAGGGACAGGGAGCGRGCAGTGGGGACAGTTTGACCCACAGCACCATCCCCTGTGCAGGGAGGCTGAGTGTGTGGGCACAGCCCATCCCTGCAGCCATCCCACCATCACTTCCTTCCTYCTGGATTCAGAGCAGGGAAGAAGGATGCCAGCCCTTGGCAGCATCACWCCTCGTGCCTGGGGCTGCTGGAAGCTCCAGCCTCTCTGAATATTTATGCTACCTGAAGGAACATTTCTGGACAGCCCAGGAGGGCACTGTCAGCATGTCCCACAAGGGACACAACGGGGACAGAGATGGGGGACAGGGGGCTCCCTCAACCAGCTGGCAGGATCCACCACAACCCAGCTCCAAGCTGCTGCTGAGGGAAAAAGGAAAAAATGTGTTCTTAGCTTTGGTAACAGAGATAAGTTCAAGGTGTRAAATGGGGTGGGAAGGGAGACCCACAACTCCATTTGAGGTTATCGTGCCAGCACACACATGGCTTGGTGCCGGTCTGGGCTGCCCGAGGTGCTGTGTGGAAGGAGGATCAGGGGTGAAGGGGGAGATGCCCCCCAATGCCCGGCACCAACACCCAGGGGCTGCCTGCCCAGGAGGGGCACTGCTGCCACCCCACACAGCCCCACAGCCCATCCCATATGGCCACAGCTCTGCTCCCCATGGCTGTCACACTGCTGGGTGTTTGCTCAGAGTTTTCTGTTCCTGTCTCTGGTCCCCCCTCGCCGGATGCAAACGTGACCGGACTCCCTGGTACTCACACAAACCCTGACACCCCACATTGCTCTGACCCTCCACAGCGATTTCACTCCATCTGAGTGGAGCTGGATGCCATTTCTTAGCATTTKGGATCACAGGGATATCCCATTACCTTTCAAACTCGAGAGGAGAACACCAGAGGAAAAGTTTTTGTTCAAGGAGAGCGCCGGGGTCGTGGCCGGGTAGCGCCGCACAGCTCTGGTGGGTTCAGGTCCCCTCCCCACCCACCCCTCACAGCTGACACTGTGTCACAAACCAGCGACTCCCCGGCTGCTACAGAAACACAAATCTCCTCCTGGAGCTCTGAGAGGGGACAGAAAATCAAGCAAACCCGTGACACACCAACCTCTGCCCATCAGAYGGGAGCTGGACCAGGCTCCGTCTGCCGGCACCCAGTGACAGCTCTCACGGCGCTCTGCTGAGCGAAATTTGGGCAGTTCTCCATGTGAGGCTCACGCYAGCTCCCTTCCCAGCTACACAAAACCACCCAGGATGCTGGGGACAGACAAAAATCAGTGCCAGCACAATACTCACCTTGGCGGAGTGAGCCTGTGTCTCTTGCACTGCTCCTGGAGCTCAGTTAGGTCGCGATCAGCAGACGGTCATCTGGCACTCGGGAGACAGGAGTGAGCAGTGTGGGTGAACTTGCACAGACAATAAGCCATAATTTTTCCTTGCAGCCTGACTGGTTCTACTGGTTTGCGTTTCTTTGCCCCAGCAGCAGAAAGGAGGYTCAGCTCGGCTGAAGCTGCCCGACAGGTTCTGCTGTAGCACAAAAAGTGGCAAGACCAGTATGGTGTGAACACAGATAGAGATTTGATTGTTTTCCCATAATTACAGCTCAACCTGCGCTCTTGGTTGAAGTCAATCACATTAGCAAACAGACCCTTTTAAATAATTCATCCGGCATTAAGATGGGGCTCTTTATTTTTGTTTTATACAACTTGACACTTTTTGAGAAAAAGAGAAAAAGAAATGTGACAGCAGCAGCAGCATCCTGCTAAACTGGAGTAGCACAGCCCCCAGCCCAAACACTTGGGAGAAGGAAAGGGATGTGCCCAAATTGACACAAATGGCTGCTTCGAGTGCAGGATGGAAGCCCATGGTCCTGGACTGTCTGCTGGGTCACTTTTCAGTGGCAGAGGATGCTTTAGGGACCAGTGAGGAAAGGTTGGGTGACTTGGGTGCTGATCCTGGCCAGCAGCCCTGGCTTAGCCGGGGTTTCCTCCCAGCTCCAGCTGCTGACACARGCAGCTTTCACCCCAAACCGTGGGYTGGTGGAGCCCAAGGCAAAATGGACACTTCCTGAGCCTTTGAAGTGCAGCTATTTCAGCATCCCCTGGGGAAAATGCTGGCACGGATTCCCCTGCCCAGGCCGGGCAGGGACAGCCTTCCCCCGCATTGCTGCAGACGGCAGCAGCTCCAGGAAAAAAGCAAGAGATGCGCTGCTCCCCATCAGCCTGGCGCTGATAAAAAGAAATAGAAAATTGTTGCCTGCATTTTCTGGGACCCGGGCAGCACATCCTGCTCCTCCAAAAGCTGCCCTGCGAGCGGGGCCCTGCTGTGCTGGCACTGCCACCTCCGAGAGCGGCGCTGGCTCGGGATGGACGCGTCCCTCTTGCTTAATAGGACACGTAACCTGAGGAGGGTGGCTTCCCGGTGACATTTCCAGGRCCAGCAGACAGGGAGAGCTCCTGTGGAAGGGGATTTGGAGCGCTGAGGCTGAGCTGCTCTGAATCATCCCATGCAGCGCATCCCCAGAGCTCGGTGCCCGGATAAAATCCCTTCCATCCTCAGCAGCGATGCCACCAGGCTGCCTTACAGCCCAGCTGCTGAGCTGGCTCCTCAGCCATCCCAGAGGAGCACKGAGCATCCCTGGCAGTGTTTCCTGCATCAATCACATCTCCCAAACTGTGGCTCCGAGCTCTGCTCCCCGTGCACGGACAGGTCGGGCAGGTGGGAGCAGCCGGGGCTGGCAGGAATGTGGCTGCACACCCATGCTATGGAAATGGGCGGCAGGTAAACAAGCAGCTGCTCCACAGGCTGTGGTCCTGGGCAGACCTGTAGGGACTGTTTGGTGATTGCCCTACGTGCACGAAATTCCTGACTCATTCCTCTGCAGGAGGGGCACGGCGAAAGGTTAAAGGGGGGTTTTCCATCCAARGCTTCTCATGAACCACCTGCAGTGGGCAGAGGGAAGCTCTTGGTCTCTGCATTCCCTCTTTCTTTTTGAGCCCTTTATTTTAGTGTCGGATATGACAATTAGAGATGGATTGCTTGATACGCTGTGGAACCTCAGGCTGGTGCTTGCGGTGGTGGAATTAATGACAACATCATGAAAGAGAAATCCTTGCTCAGACCAGCCTGGTGACATCATGGGAGGGGCAGGGGGGGGAACTGGGGGGTGTGGGACTTGGGGACATCACCTGCAGCAGCCAGACCTGCGAGCAGTGACAATGGGACATGGACAACGAGCCGTAGGGGCACCAACACCATCCTGCACCTGCCCCCAACAGTGGCTGCTCTGTCTGGAGCACCAAAACACCAAAAAAGAGCTTCATGGGAGCAGCTGCCCGTGGCAGAGCAGAGCAGAGGAGCCGTCTGGAAGTGCTGTTCTGGTGCACAAGGAGGCAGAACWGACATTTCTGGGAATCATCTCCAAATAAGCTCCTCTTGTCTCACAGGTGTCTATTGGTGATCACACAGATTGCTCACAGAAACCAAGGGCTGTCTGCTTCCTGGCTGAAAAGCCAAAAGATCTGGGCAGGACATGGATATCTTTACATCTGGGGACTTGAAAAAAAAATTGAAAATAATTTCAAGCCTTTTTTTCTAGGAGAAAATCTATAAAATAAGGAAATAAATACAAATCCACTGAAGCAGTGGGGAGGTATTTGATCAAGACTGAGACAGGTGACTGCAACTGGAAAGGCAGGGAGATGACAGAGTATCTTTACTGGACAAGACAAGCAGGACCTTCAACAGGTTCCAACCTACTTTTTTGGATATGTAATGGGGAAACTCTTCTGCTGTTGAGAGATCCCATCCCCTGAGTTTGGTCATACTGATCCCCACCCAAAAACAAAGGGTAAGAGCAAGTTAGGCTTTCAGGAAAAGCTGGTCATCAAAATTAACATCTCTTATGGATGCAGCTTATCTCCACAAGATCTATAGRATGGAAAAAACTCCCCTGTTTCAGGGAAGAAAGTGCATGATTTGTCCCCACTGAAGGGGTCACCACTAAAGGCACACAGGGGGATGCTCCCCATGGGCTGAGCCACAGTGCCTGAGCACAGAGCAGAGCTGAACAGCAAATGTAGGTACTGCCAGGAGCCCAGGTGACCTCATGGTGACATGGAGAGCAACATCCTGCAGCATTCTGCAGCATCCCTGGAGCAGGAGGAGCTGGCAGCCTCACACTGCTGTGCCATGGATGTGGGTGAGGCCCTGTGAGGATGCTCAGGGCTGTTAAAAAGGGCTGACAAAAGCATCCCTACATCATTAACARCTCACAGGCACGAGGGATCAGACAATCTGGGCGACATGTRCCAGTGCCTCACCAACCCCRCAGTGAAGAATTTCTCCCTGACTGACATCTCAYCTAACCCCGCCCTCTGCCGATCTGAARCCATTCCCCTTGYCCTGTCACTCGTCACACACGAGCCTGAGGGTGCTTCAGAACCTGATCCTCTTGGGCTTTTCCTCAAATCCCATCAGAACACACCCAGAAGAGTTCCTGCAGCAAGAACAAGCGCACGGGAGAAGCATCCCTGGGCTCATTTCAGCCGGATGCTGCTCCGCAGCAGACACCCAGAAACAAGGCAAAAATATAAAGGGGAATGAGATCAACCTTCCCAGCCGGGTGCTGCAATGAGAGAAGGAAATATTCCCTCGAAAAGCCGCCCCAAAACACCGAGCGGGCTGAGGCAGGAGGCGCTCGGAAGGCAGCGCACACATTGCCGGCAGCTTCCACCAGAGGCTGCTCGATGGCTTCGAAACACCTCCAGCCCCTACAGCTGCGGCTCCGGGCACAGCCCCGGGCCGGGATTTGGGATCCCACACGCTCGGAGGGGTCCTGTCACCCTGGGAAGCGCTGGRTACCAAACCCGAGGGACGGAGCATCATTACCTGCAGGACCAGGGCAAGGAGATTGCTTTTCTCACCTTGGAAAGGTGGAAAAACTCTGTAAAAGTGAGATAATGAGAGGCTGAGCTAAACCAGTTGTTTTCTGGTGTTACAAGCATTTAAAGAGCGCTAAATAACACCAAGGCAGCCTGCTTTTGTGGGCTGTGTTTGTGCCTCTTCTCTCTGGATTTGCGTGGGGTGGCCCTTGGTGACACAGGTAAAGGGGAGATGCTTTAACTGTGGAGGAAGGTCACCCACAGACCTCAGAAATCTGCACAGAAAATCCTGCCCTAAATTTCCATTACTGGAAGATACAAAACCCCATCAGCTGGAAAAAAAGGCAGCCAGTGGAGGGTTTTCTCTCAGCTGGAAGGGGAAGCAGATGAGTCTTTTCCATCGTGGCTCAGTTTTCCTTCACCTCCGACCGGCACCATCTGGGCTGCAAACGCCCTGGGTGTGCAGCTCTTGCCTTCCAAGGTGCTGGGAATGCACAGGAGAGTACAAAGACATCACCAAAGTGGGTGGCAGCTGTTCTCAGTGAAGGGCAGAGGGCTGGTGGGAAGGTAGCTGTCCATGTCAGGCTTTGGCACGACTCATCTGGTCAGGAAACACGTTGTAAGTTTTTGTGATCCCACCTAAATTCACCTGTTCCTGCTGCTGCTGCTCACGTTTTCCCAACAGACAGATGTCTAAATGTTTTATACCCTGAAAAAATAGTCAGGCTGTGTGGATGGTGTGGCTTGCAGAGCTCAGGGTGCCTGGATCTCTGTTGAGGATGCTGAGGGCTGGGTGGGCTTTGCCAAAAGTTGAAATGAACACTTCTTACACTTTACAAAAATGTTCTTTGTCTGACTCATCCATCTTTATACCCTCAGCCAGCAGTGGCTCAACCCAGGCTGAGRAAACACAAATGGGTTGCACTGCTGGGGTTCTTCTCTTCACCTCTGCCTTCCCCTCCTTCTGCGAGGAGGAGATTAATGCAATTAGGGTTTTGTAACCATTTCCTCTCTTAAGATGAAAACACGTAGGGGGTGTTCACATTTGGCTCCCAATGCCCAGGGATGGAGGACAGCCAGGCAGTCCCTCTTCCAACCCACATTCCCATCCAGGCAGGACCAGGATGCCAATCTTGCCCAAAATTAATCTTTTTTTTTTTCTACAGGAGGAGGGGAGCCAGTTCCATTTTCAGCTGGCTCCCACTTGGCTAAACCAAGGAGGACCCTGCTGTCCTCTGACACATCCTGGCTCTMTTTGAAGCGGTCATGACCCACAGTTTGAGAAACCCTGCACTTAATAGTCCTTCCTGTCTCTTACTCCTCCATCTCTGCTCTGTCTTCTGCAATATCCATTTTCCCTTGCCCCTCCCTCCTCCCCTGGCCAGAAAGAAGTAAAAAATTAAGTGTGAATTTCAGAGCAAAAGATGCTTTTGTGTTTTTTTACATAGACACTGAGAAGCGAAGGAAAAACTCTTCCCATAAATTACAGTCCCATGAAAATGGCTCAAATTGCACGGAGTTTGCAAATTAGAGAAGATGCAAAT